CTCTCTCCTCTCTCTCTCTCTCTCTCTCTCTCTCTCGAACGCTCTGAATGCGTTCCTTGGACATTGGAACAATGGAGGAGCCCTCTCAAAGCATTTCATCAGCTTTGGGGAATTACCCTCTGTTTTCAGCTTTGGTTGCGTTTGTGATCGCTCAGGCTATCAAATTCTTCACTACCTGGTACTCTCTCTCTCTCTCTCTCTCTTTTATTGTCTTGTAATTTCGGAGAAAGTGGTTACAACTTACAGTCCATTGAATCTGTTTGTGTATTTTGAATTGCAACTGTGGGAGGGAGAGAACACCAGAACAAATCTAGCACGCATCGTGTTGATTTCCTTTTTGGACCTAATTTTGACGAATTAATGCAGTGGTACTATACCAGATTTTGTGAAATTAGTTGTTCCCTTTTATTATAAAGGATTGCATACAAAGAGATCATTTATCTTTTTTACATGGAGGTCACGTTCATTCTTGTTCCCTAAATTTTCAGAGGGGTGGTTGTTAGAGTATCATTCAAAGACACAAAGTTAAAAAAAAAACAAAATTCTTGGATTTTGTGACTCACCGTAAACCATCCAATTTGACGTGGTGGGATGATTGTGAACTCTATGTACAAAAGATAAATGGTCTTTTGTAGATAATCCTTTAATATAATCCATTCTTTAAATACTTGAGATATTCTTGAATTTTCAAGTGGGCATGGTAATTGGGTCTAGTAGGGTGTGTTGGCTTGACTTTCAGGTCCAAATTCCCGATTCGGATGGTTGAGTTTGAGTCCAAAAGTATGGACCGGGTTGTTGGGTTGGGTTTACCTAAGATGGTCACGTCCGGTATGATTAAACTGGACCAGAGTGAATATATATAGAACCGGTTTTTAAGCCTGTTCCTTTTGCTTTATTGTGGCTCCGACATTTGAACGATTTGTAAATATCAATAAAAGAGAAGAGGTACTTTTACCATTTCATAAAGGGTAAAGTCAAAATTCTTATATATGTATATATATATATATATATATATATGAAAAAGTTTATATAAGCTAACCCCTTAAAATATAAAATTAAGGTACACCTCTAAAATCCTTTAAAAAAAGTTGTTTTGATGTTGGAAAAACATCTAATTGATCATCTCGACATCGAGTTGAACAGATATGGAGTAAAAATAAATTTTCAGTCCTAAAAATAGTACATCTTACAATACATTATCTGGACTGTCTATTTTTAAGATTTTCATATGTTTATTGATTTGCTTGATTTTAACCATTTTTGGAGTTTAAAATTTTATAATTAGAGATAAAAGGACATTTTCACACCATCCTAAGAATATTCGCCATTAAAATTGCATCTCATGACAGAGTTGGAGGTGCACCTTACTTTGATTGTTTAAGGTTGCAACATCATGCAAACTACAATATATCGATAGATATAGACATATTTTGACATGAAGTTGGGTCCGATTGTGGGTCTGGGTTGGGTCTAGATCATTTCTAGGGCATTGTTAGGTTGGCCCCAACTAGGTTAGCGTCCCTATTATCTATGAATTTTTTTCACTTCTTTATTCTCTATAACCCTCTCATTCATGAGCTAAATTGAATCCAAACAGCTGTACAAAATAAATATGGGTCCTTGGAGTTAGTTAACATTGGTGAAGTGTTTTGTTTCAAGATTTTGATGTGTTCTTTTCTAAATTTGGAAGAGAATTTCAGCTCAGTTCTTGCTTTTTTTTCACCGTTATGTTTCCCTCTCTTCAAAGAAATTGTTTGAGGTGATTTTTGGCATAATAGTGGTCTCCCCAATGAAATATTGAATCTTGATTGCAATACATCGTTATTGTGGATGTAGGCCAATGTGCTCTTTGTTAATCTTTATATTCATGTGATTACATTATATTATGATC